CTTGGTGCGAAACATTTTAATATCTGTACCTGTGCCTTTATGAACAATATACTTCTCTCAAGACAGAGCAGCAAGATACCATTTTACCACATTCTTTTATAGTGAATTGCTGCTTTGCAGTCAATTGTTGTACAAGCAGACATGCTTAGAGTTGTTGCGTGTCCAGGCAAATTTGGGTTTATAATTAACAACATCTGTTGTGGGAGTTCTGGCTGTCAGGAGTGCTTACAGAGGTGTTGGTCATTCCTAGAGGTCTGCAGTGTCCATAATTGCTGTCCTATGTCACTGGGGTTGTTTGGTTTCTGCAGTTAAGAAAATTGCTGTGTCCTCCCCCCCCTCCTCCCCCCCCAAAATGTGAATGGGATTCTTCTTGCCAGTCCATAAAATTCACACTGAAAAGCGTGGCCCTCAGCTAAAGCCAGTAAGCCTTCTGGAGTGAGGGAAGAAGGAACTTTTTTAGCAGGGTAGCTATCAAGTCCTGAAACAGGCATTTCCAGAGACTATTTAATTCTGCTTATTTTAGAAACAAGTCTCTTCCTGCTCTTTTTATAGCCAGAGCCTTGATGACTGGGGGTGGGGGCTGACTGTGTGACCAGTGTAGTCCAGCATACAGCCACTGTCTGTGGCTGCGAAGCAGTATCCTTTGCTTCTTTTTTTTCCCCCCAGTTCTCTTTTTCTCCATCCCCATCTCACCACCTCCGCCATGCCAGGACAAGCATCTCTGTACGCACATGGCTGAAACTAGCCACTTCCTTTGTTGGATTAGTGTTTCAGCCAGATCTTTTCCTTGCTCCAGCGCTCCTCAGTGGTGCACTAATGGTAGCACTGGTCAGAAAGGAAAGCAGTAAGAATAATCAACCAGGAGGTTGATTAACAAGGGTGAATAATCAACAAAGAGGATGGGACAGCTCTCTTAAGTGACTTTCCATCCTTACACTAGATGAAAGTGTCTGTAAACATAATCTCAGCTCTAGGAGGGATCAATTTCATACAGCATTTCTGAATCAAGCTTTAAACCCGTGAAGACGTAGCTGATGCAAAGAGGTGTCAGTCTGCAGGAAGCACGAATGCTAGTCCAAAAGTGTGAGTTGCTTATTCATTTCTAGGTTTATAAGTGTAATTAGAGTGGTATGTGGAGATGTGAATAAGTAGACTGTCTGGTTATTGCCTCAAAAAGGTGGCTTCTGCACAGCAACTCAACTCTTACTAGATATTTAAATGTTTCACCTGTGGTCTGAAGCGTGGTTATGTATTTCAATAGAAAGCTTTGCAGCAAGGCACACTTCAGTATGCAACAGAGGCAGATGCCTTGTAGTGTTTTCCTTTGCTTGGCATTTGCTTGGTGGATGCTGGAGCTCTGGGTCAGATGAGGAGCTGCTTGGCTGAGTGGAACAATATGCAGTGGCCTAACAGCTTCTTGCTAACGTTGCCTTAATATCAGTATAAACTGTGGCCTGTGTCAGGTGGGGTGAAATGCTGAGCTGAAGAGTGGTGAGAGGAGAGCAGCATAGCCATCGATATTTCATTTCAAAGGAATTCATGTTTCTGTAACTCTTAAATTTGTTTCTTGATCCTATTTGCCCAGTTAATTTTCTGCACAGAAAATTGCTGTTGTAATAAATAAATTAAAAAAGCTGTAAAAGGCTTTAGTGCTGTGGAGTAGTAAACTTAATTTCTAAATATCAAGCTGATTAACAGAATACAAAGGTGCTAAATACTTGATTTGCAAATTCAAAATTAGTCTCACTATGGAGAAATAATTCTTCCTTTTTCCTGTTGTCACTTAATGAGTCTCTCATTTCAAATTAGAAGCTCCAGAGATTTCTATCAAAGCTGGTTTTATAAAGAAAAAATTCTCTTCAAGCATTACTGTTTGTAGAGACAGTTAGCAAAAAAACTTGGAAAGCAGCGAGTCCAAACATTCAAGGTTATGTCCATGTTTGTCTTCCTAAAATATTTAACAAAAATAGAGTATAGTTCACAAATGTGCAGAAATAATTTTAAAATCAGTTTTTCAACAGCACGCCATTTGCAGCCTTTTAGAAAGGATCCAACTGGTGATATAGTTGTTAAAGAGATTTCAGTTCTTGGCAAGCTTACCTTTTGTAAGCTTTGAGTTGCTTTTTTTCAGGGGGAAAAAAAAATCACTTTTTCAAGGATTCTGGGATATTTTTCAAGGATTTAATTAGAAAGGGGAGAACAAGTATAATAGAAAATATGTAAATGTTGCACAAAATATTTCATTTATTTCTTGTAACAATGGGTTCTTTTCTGTTCCCATCGTCTGTGGTTGAATACTGACACGGGCGTTAGTTCCAGCTCCACCAACGGTTTCCAAAGGCTTCCTTTGGCTGTCTAGTGTAGTTAGGCGTTATTTGTTTTGGTTTATTCCCTTAACAGAAAAATCTGCAACAGGGCAGTCCACAGTACTAACCAGTGACTTACAGGAGAATGTATTTGACACTGTTGTGACCAGGCTGCTGCAGTGGTTAGGAGGAGGTTTGGAGGCTGAGGATGTGCATCGCTTTGCTTGCATTAAAGAATAATCAGAATTGAATCCAAATTAGCAAATCATTACTCGAGTTTTTCCAAAACTCAGCAGATGGAAAAGCTATTAAGCAGCAGAGGTAAAGGAAGCGAGCTAGTGTGTGTCGGAGGGCAGGCGGCTTGCTTTAGGAGAGGCATTGGCTTAGCCATATATGGAAGAGGACCTTTTCCTTGTTAACTTTACGGGGAATCTGTGCCCAGAACTACATTCATCATGCGGATGCATTTCCACAGGAACGTTTCTCTTCCAAATGGTCTTAGTCATAGTTTTAGCACTGTGTCACATCTTTGCTGACTTATTTATATAGTCTGCATGGGCTTGCTGTGCATCCACTGCTAGTCTGCCCTAAAAAGGTGAACTGTTTATAACTTTCTCATTTTGGCTAACAGAAAAGACAGTATTAAGCTGATGCCAGCAACTTAGTCTTTTTTTTACTGAAAACCCCACCCTGTTCTGGGCTGTACTTAAAGCAAAACTGCTTCTCGAGTAACAAAATATCCTTTCATTGAAGGGAAGTAAGGTTTGCTAAACACAGAACATACCTGCCATAAAACCAAAAAAGGAAGAACCTGTAAGTTGACCAACCTGGTTAGGCTTTGCCCTCCAGACTCCTAGTGCGATAGGTGTGTTTCTATACCATGTAACTGCTCTCTTTCTCTAACCTTGATTCAATCCCTTCATGTGTCTTCCACCTACTTGCATTTGTTGGGTCATGGTTCCCCTCTGATCAAGGTTCATGGTTGCGCATGTTTGATTTAGGTGGTTGCTTATAGAGGGGACTTAATAATAAGAGTGTTCATGAAAGAGAATTTTTGCAAATGAAGGACTGATCACCTTTGCAGCGACGGGCAGAGGGAAAAATTTGAGTTAGATAAGTAATGCTCAAAAGTTAAGTAAGGTATAATTCACAGTTCAATTTTTTCTTTGTTTTTTTAATCAGTAATTTCTTACGTGCATATGTCTAACATCTAGCAAAGTCATTCCACAACAAATTCTCTTAATTCTCCTATGTCTAAACTCCCCCCAGCCCTCTGGCTACAGCGTCCACTAAAGAGTGGGCCAAAATGATTTATCAGAAAAATATGAACCATATAATACTGTTGTTGGATACAATTTGTTAGCAAAGGGTTGGCTTCTGTTTGAAACCTTCCCCACCAGATTTTGGAGCAGCTATCCCTTCTCTGTTAGGTCTGGCTGGATGTGCAAAGAAACAATTATGAATGACCCTAAATCAGTGTGGGAAAACCAAAGCTCAACTGCTGTGCTTATTTAAGCATTGCTCACTTTGCTGCTAATTTATATGAATAATAGTACATCTTCTAGAAAATGACAGGTTCATTTTAAAAGTCTCTGCCAAATTCAGTTTTCCTTGGCTGTATTGCAAGATATTTTTTAGAACAAAAAGGTGTTAAGAATATTGATGTTTCCAGGATGACTGGAAAGGCTTTAATTAGCAATAACATTTTAGGATGACCAAGCAAATTGGCTGCCAGGGTCCAAGTTCTCAGAATTCTTATAATGAATAAAAGAGAAATGGAGTTTAAAATAGTACCAAAATTTAAAAGATATGACAACTGACCCTGTCTGACTACCTGCTATGAGAATAGAAGAAAATTTAGAGAAAAATGGTCTATTTGAAACCTATTTATAGAACATAATCCTATCTCTGGAGTACTAAGTGAAGTCTCACCAATAATTAAGGAAAATGACAAGTCAGTAACCTTAAATTGTGGTTTATGAGCATTCAAATCTTGTCTCATAAGGCATGTAGATTATATAGTTTGTATGTATTTATTTTTTCTGCCAGGCTTTTATTAAGATTTATAGCACTGAACAAAAGGTAGAGTGTTTTTTCTTTACTAAAGATGGTACCTATTAATTCTCTGTTGTTTAAAGAAGAAAAAAGGGGCTGAGTTTATATCAAGGATGACTTATGTTACATATTGTGAGAGGAAATTTCTAGTTTGGAGTATAAGGTGCAAAGTTAGGCTGTAAAATGCCCTTTGAAGGGTCCGAGAAAAATATTTTGGAGGGGGCCTTGAAGTTTATCTTAAAACAGAGACTTGAATAGAGAAGCTCTATTTCCATCTTGTATTTCTGTGGTATCTTTATTTAGAAGTCTCCCTGTGATAACATTCAGAGCATAAATATTTTTAATAAGATGTTAAAAGCTTAGTTTGGGTTCTCCCCCCCCAGCTGAACAGCATTTCCAAATTTCTCATAGCTTGCTAGTTTACCTAACGTAAGAGAGTTTCAGAGTAATTTAAGAAGCAGCTACCCTGTTTGATGTCTTCTAAACACAAAGTTTAGCCCACAAACATAGTTGTACCAGCTGGACAGTTTTGCTCTAATACAACCAAGATCATTTGATTTGCACCTGCTCCATATTCCTTGTCTCCTCTGAAACACAGTTGCATGTCTGCAGTTTCATGCAACTTTTTTTTTTGCTTACTCGTTATGATAAATCATCCAGTTTGGTCTTCTGATTATGTATTTCAGACTAATTTAAAATTGCTTGCATGGGCTGGCGTCCTCTGTTGCTTGGTATGGAATGGATTTGCTCAGCAAGGTAAGTCTCTTGATTTCATTGCAGTAATTTAATGTTGCTTTAAAACTATATATATATTTAGCAGTTACTTATGTAGATAAATATATCATTGTTAGACGAGTGCTAATGGAAATACGTCAATCGTATCTCATGTTAATAACCTGTTTGTAGTTAAACTTAGTTTACAAAGCCAGAATGAAACAAACTAAAATTCTATTGTTGTTAGCACCTTTTTATAAATGAAGTGACTGATTTGTATTCTTTGCTAGGTGGAAGTGACTGCATAAAGGCTAATGCAAAATCATGTGGTGAATGTATACAAGCAGGACCAAACTGTGGTTGGTGTAAAAAAACAGTAAGTGTTGCAAAATTCCTTTTACAGTTTGGTTTTTTCCCTTGGTTTCAAATTTTAGTAAATACTTTAAATGTATAGAAATGTCTGTCTTCCACAATAATAGTTTCCTGTAGCTCTTCAATTTGATGCTTATTTGTACTTAAAAATTCAGACACTATGATTTTCATGATGTCCTGGTTTGAGTAGAATTGCTTTTCACAACGTGTTTACTTCTACTTTCCTAAATCTTAAGACCCTACAGGCTGTCTCAGTTATTTAAAATCATTCCAGCATAGAATCTGTCTGCGTATGCTTAATTATATTCTTCCAGTGACATTAGAGTAAGAGGTAATTTTAGACAGACATAGGTGGAGTAGGGGAAGAGATTGAAGGTGTTCTTTTTATAAAAGAAAGATGTTTAAATTTTAGTTTTTTATTGTTGGTAGACTGGGGGGGTAGGAGATTGGTTTGTGCGGGTGGGTTGTTTGTTTCAGTATGAAACATAAAAGGAGTGCTTTCTTATGTAATTAAAAATTAAATTCAGGAAATGCAAAATGTAAGATAATCTTAAATTGTGTGACTTAACTAGTGTATGCTGAAGTGTCGTCTTCAGGTTAGAAACAGAAGAAAATGTTTTTTACAGCTCTTCTTTGGTTTGTTAATGAAAACCAGGAAATTTTCCTGTTTCTTGCTAGAAGATGATAATGCGTATTTATTTCCATATAGTACGTACTTACTGTCCCCCAAACCAGCTTATAAACTTTAAACATTTAATTAAACTAAGATTTGGCCTTGAGGTGTCAGATTTGTTGTAGGTCCTAGTCATCAAGAACTGACAAGCTTTAGAATATATTTATTTATATGCATATTGGGGGGGGGGGGCGGAATCAGAATTGACAAGTTTCTCAATTAGAAGCCTTATTTATTCATATTTCAGGTTAGAGCTTTTTTTAGGTTTGAGGTAATGGTAATTTGTTGTTCAGGGCAAAGTTACGTAGTGGTTTTGCTTATGGATCTTACTTTCGGATTGAATTTCCCCAAAATAAAAGAGTTGTCGTCTGTCTCTCCCGTGCTCTGTCAGCATATTGCCATTATTTTGTTGTGGAGTACCAGGGTACACTTACATAATCTTTAGTTAAAGCCTTTCTAAAAAAAAAAAAAAGTTAAAAGGGAGGGTAGTTGCCGAGTAGGCTGTACAAATAGGTTCACGTTATTGACGACTACATGAAGATGAGAGCTTTTTCCACTGCTGTCACTTTTAGAGTAGCTGATTTAAAAAGATGTCCTGCCCAATGTCACCTCTGACAGAAGCATTTTTTTTATTTCATCTTGCTTACATCTTAAACACAGGTAAGTATAAGTAGATGCAAACTCCTGGACTAAATAGTCACTGATGTATTTAGTATAATTTAACATATTTCAGGACTGTTTATTTTATTACTGAACTTAAAAAAACAAACAAACAAAAAAAAAAACCAACCCAACCAAACAGAAGATGGAGTCATTGTAAAAGGTGTTATTGTGGGTAGAGTATAATGAATTGCAGATAGCTGTAAACTTGATACTCTTCTGCCTGTGTTTTCTAGGACTTTTTGCAAGAAGGAGAACCAACATCTGCCCGATGTGATGACTTGGCAGCACTAAAGAGTAAAGGCTGTCCTATGGAAGATATAGAAAATCCCAGAGGTAGCAAACAGGTGCTTGAAGATAGAGAAGTAACGAATCGTAAGATAGGTGCTGCAGAGAAGCTGAAACCAGAGGCCATTACACAGATCCAGCCACAAAAATTAGTACTGAAACTAAGAGTCGGTAAGGACAGTTTCATTCTAGTCTTCGGATGATTTTTCTGTCACCATCCCATCAGCATTTTTTGTTTTAAATGTGTAACCATTTTGTTACAGAAACTACTATTGTTCACATAATCTGAATGATAGCAGAGCCATTCAGGTCAGCCCCAGGTGTTTAGATACTTCAAATACTGTTTGATTTTTATGAAAGGTTAGCTATTATCACTTGTTCCCAATAGAACTTATGAGAAAATAGCATACATTGATACATATATCAGGAAGGTAAAATTGTTTTGTTCTTGGTATTTTGTAGTTGATTTTCTACAGTGTGGCTTCTTAGAATGGAAGTAGAGGAGTGTGCAAAAACTTAGAGAAGTTATGAGAGCATTTCCTTTTCCTTGAAGTACTGCTGTTGCCTAAAGTCTGCATGTCTGAACTGAATGCTTCTGTAGTTATGCAGCAATCCAAAAATCTTGCTATGTAAAATACTTTCCAGAGGCTAAAGATGTGGACGCGGGACTACAGTAATGAGAACAAAGTAGTTGTGTACCATTTCCAGCCCCTAAAGAAAACTTTATTTCATTCAAATGGGCCGGGGGGGAAACAGGGCTAGTAGCTCATACAGTACTTGAGCATAATGAAGATTGTCCTTAAGGAGAGTTCCTAGGTGCTGCAGACACATTCAACAACTACCTTGTATTTACCTGCAATAAGAGCCTGTACTCGGGGTCAGCTGCTTGGTGGTGATTGCCTTAATAAATGCAAGATGATCTGAAGAAGCTTAGCATGATGAGGAGAGGAAAGGAATGAAAGCTATTTTGCAATTTTGGTATTGCCCCGATTTATTTCTAATGTGACCCTTTCAGCTTCAAACCAAATTATTATCCCCCTGTTGACACAGAAGTTTCTTCATCAGAACATATGAGGGACCTGGGCAACCAGAACCTAATTACCCAAAATATTATTACTCTGTTTATAAGCACTTCTCTTGGTCATAAGTTCTCTGAGCGACTGTGTGCTTGCAGAGGGGGATACTTACCTTCTGTGCAGGCTCTTTTAAACAGTAGCCAGGGAAAATCTAAAGCTTTTAGGTTTTGGTTGTTGTTTTTTTTGTTTGGGGGGGGTTTGCCTTTTTTTTTTTTTGTGAAAACCATACTGCATAGCTGCATGATCCATATGCTATTCACTTTGCCCATCTAATGGTTTCCCCAGTTTGCTAATTTTGCTCATGTTAAGCAAATGTTTGCTAATTATTAAGCAGACTTAAGCAGCAGCAATATCACCATTTAAGTTCAGTGACCGAGGGGGGTGGGGGAAAATACTTCTAATTCTATTCCTTATTTCATATATATTAGGCAAAAGAATACTTTTCCATTTTCCCGGAGGCAGCATAATTCTTCTGCAGTGTCTCTCAACATCAGAGTGAGACTACATGCTTCTGTTGGCAAAACTCAGGGTCTGGGCTTGCAATTGCAACAAATAGTAACATGCCATTATCTCACTGCCATTTCTGTGCTCTCAGCCTGTATTTGATGCAAAGTAACTTGAAATATTCCATCCAGAACTGATTTTTCTTTTATAAACCTATTTAAACAATGTGTGCATTTTTAAACTAAACCCTGAGAATTTTTTGAGTCATCTTGGATGCAAATAGATATTCAAAATTAGTGCTATTAGATCTTACAGGAACCTTGTTAAAATTATTGCAAGTATGAAGATTTGAAATTTCAGCAACTAAGAGAGGCTTCATTTTTGACAGGCTAGTATTTTCTATGGGGAGATAAAATACCTTGGAAATATGAAGTTGAATATTCAAGAAATATTTCTTGAAACTTATTTCATCATAATTTGATGTTAAGCATTTCAATTAACAGAAGAAAAAAATCACTCACCTCTAGTTCAAAACCTCCATTAGTATGTCAAAGACTTTCCTTAAAAAGGCATTTTTCTTGCCAGTGCAGTTGTGGAATTTTTAATGGTTTCTATTTGTTGTTTAATCTCTGAAACAGGGGAACCCCAAACATTTTCATTAAAATTTAAGAGAGCTGAAGACTACCCCATTGACCTTTATTATCTTATGGACCTCTCCTATTCTATGAAGGATGATTTAGAGAATGTGAAAAGTCTCGGAACGGCTCTGATGGTAGAAATGGGAAAAATAACTTCAGACTTTCGAATTGGTAAGAAAGATTTGCCTATTCTAAAAAAAAAAAATTCAAGTTTCCTTCCTGATGTTTTTCACACAATTGCATATGAAGAATAATTTTTTTTCAAATTAGCAGTATTATGGCAGATATTCTAATACACAGAACTTGTTGAGGAACATGAGAGTACTTGGTGTTGACGGAGAAGGTAGAACGTAAACAAGTACAAGAGCTATTTCCAACGTCAGTTCAGCTATAATGCATTTGCATTCTGTTGTGTCATAATACAAATAAGACTTCCATTCTTCAACTTACAGGGCTTTTATTGTTCTGTCTTAGGCTTTGGCTCTTTTGTGGAGAAAACTGTGATGCCATATATAAGTACAACACCAGCCAAACTCAGAAATCCTTGTACAGGTGACCAGAACTGTACAAGTCCATTTAGCTATAAAAATGTACTCAGCCTTACCAGTGAAGGAAATAAATTCAATGAACTTGTAGGTAAACAGCACATTTCTGGGAATTTAGATTCTCCTGAAGGTGGATTTGATGCAATAATGCAGGTTGCAGTTTGTGGGGTAAGTGTGTATTAGTTTTCTTTACTGCTCTATTAAATGAAATTGTCTGAATACAGCCTTAGTGTTTTATGGTGGCTGATGTTTGAACATGTCATCTCATGCTAGCAAGACAAGATAGCGAATGAAACTGGGAAATGTGAAACTCGATTAGAGGTCACATTCACAGCAGATAGTCCAAAGACAAAGTTTTTGAAGTTTGCTGTAAAAGAAGAGTCAAATTCTGCTCAAAAGTGTATGAAATCCTGAGTAAGCAACTATTCTCAAATTATTTTGAAGTTTTATATGCTTCTTGTAGCTGTTGTTTCAGAATAGTTTGGTGAATTGTAACTTCTACTAGCTTCTCAGACAGAAGTAGATGGAAACCTGATTTTTGTTTATTTTTGAAGATCTGATCTAGATCACTGCATTCTTCTTTGATGTTTCTGTAGTCTGGCAGACCATTCTATGCACCTGTATAACATGGACTCCCAAAAAAGTGATATCCAAGTTTATTGCTTTGTTACCATATCATTTTTGCTGTTTATCAATGGAGTCAGAACTTTCTGAAACAGTCTAAAGTCTTATTTTAAAAGTGCAGTGTTAATCATAAGCCTTCTAGGGGGTTTTTTGTTCTTTTTTTTATTTTTGGAGGTAACTGGTATTTGTGATGCTTTTATATGGTCTTCTGTCCTTATATTAAATAGGGCTTCAACTCGATGGAAGAACTTAAAAAAATAGGAAAGGGCAGGTTACAGAATTAGGCCCTGCAGTTGTGGGCCAGGATGCTCATGGGACAGTGAAAAAGGGCAGTCCTCTGGCAAGCACTATGCTGGGTACAAATCTGGACTAAATTGGCAAAGCCTGATGATTCTTCAGAGCCTAATGCCGGGCAAGCTGTAATCTTCCAGTTCGAGATTGCAGCAGTGCTCTACACGCTAACGTTTTCCTCTGTGCTTGGGCTACGTGGTAGTGACATAGAAGTGGACTTGGCTTTAAAGAGCTGGAGTGACGTGCCCGATTTCTAAAACCCTATCGCTCTTCAGATACTCTAGTGAGAACTGAACAGACCAAAGTACATCTCAAAAAGAATGTTTCTTGCCTTTGGTGAAAAACCTGCAGCAGATATTTTGGAGCAGACATTTAATTAAATGCAAGTGCTTTTAAGGTTTGAGTGTATTATATGATGTCCAGGGTTACACTTTTGCAGTATGGCTTCTCCTAAGTCAGTCTACTTTTTCATGCATTTGTCTCTCAAGTGTTGGTCTCTGATGCTATAAAATAAATTGGTGCAAAATACCAAAAATACATTTGTTTGTTTCCCAAGGAACAAATTGGCTGGAGAAATGTTACAAGACTATTAGTGTTTTCTACGGATGCTGGATTTCACTTTGCAGGAGATGGTAAACTTGGTGGAATTGTTTTACCAAATGATGGGAAATGTCATCTGGAAAATAATATGTACACAATGAGCCACTATTACGTAAGTCTTTACATAATCTTCCAGGGAAATTAATATTTTGTAATACTTAAGCTCAAAAAAACCTCATTAGGTCATCTGGTATAGTTTCAGGCTGCTACATCTTTTGAACTTCACCCATTTACCTCTGTATTACCTCAAGTGACTTTAGTTTAACTAAAGCAAATGTGCAAGAATTAATCCAGTCTTAATTGGAAAATTTAAAGAAATGGCAACTTTCACACTATGATTTGCGTTCTTGGTTATTAACCTTTTAAATAATTAATAATCCTGCATGTCCACTGACAGACTGAGGTGGCTCTGTCCCATGATTTTATCATTTCGCTAGTCTTTGTGTTCGGAAGTATTTTACTACTGTAAAAAATACTGTGAAATAGAGAGTGCCTTGGCCAGTTTTTTTAAGACTGCTCGAAATCTTATGATACAAAGCTTATGGTAAAAGCATGCTTAACAACAGTGCCTTCATGGTTTATTGATAGGTAGATCAGACAAAAGATGAAAAGAAAAACATTTACCAGATGGGGTAAACGCAATAAGCTTTACAAAGTTTGTGTGTTCATATATTCCTAAAGTTAAGTGAGTATTGTTCAATGAAAACCTAAAATTAATTCAGTTTTATTTCATCTTTTCTTTATGAAACAGTGTAAAAGGTAGTGGTTTTCACTGAGATAAGTCATATGGAAAACTACTGAAGGTAATTTTCTGAGAACATTGAGATTAGGGATTTAACCTGGAGACTTTAAGTGGCGCAGGGAATATGATAATGTTATTGTGAAAAAACACCTAACTTCATGGGGCATATATGGAATCTTTTCAATGCATGTTTGTTTTCAGAGGGTGTTTTGCTTTAGAACTGTGACATAAGCTGGCTAGTTGGAAGTCTTACATATGTTTCTGAAGGTGATTTGGATTTACGAAGTCAAAGTCTTTCTGATAGTTTTGTAGCAATGTGTCCCAAATTTGAATTGCATTTTGTTCTTGATTTTTATAGGATTATCCCTCTATTGCTCATCTGGTACAGAAGCTTAGTGAGAACAATATTCAGACAATCTTTGCCGTTACTGAAGAGTTTCAGGCAGTTTATAAGGTAAAGATAAATAACACATTTCTGGTCTCTGTACTTTCCCTCAAGCACTAAGACTGACTCAGATTTGCTCTGAAGTCATTAAAATTGCTTGATTTGAAATTAAAATAATTACAGAAGTAAGTGATAGTGGAAGCAATATTTTGCTACTTAAGTTTTTATTATTAAGCCTTTTTTACTTGTTCAGATTGATACTGAGCGGGTGTGTAATTTCCAAGGAAAAAGCGCCTCTTCTCCTTGCCCCTCTTTATACTTTATAGGTAGGAGGGAGTGGAGAACATATTTGCAGTGCTAATTTTTAGGAACATTTTTACAGCAAAATAGCTGAGGGGAGTATGGATACTGAATCAAGAGACACATTTTGTCCTCTGTGGTCTATTTATATTCCTGATGTTTAAAATTAACTAAACTGCTGGATGTGATTGTGAAATAGAAAATGACTGTGTAAAGGAGATGCATATTTTTCCTCGTTTTAAGCTAACAAGGTGGGTTTTGTTTTTTGTTTTTTGTTTGGGGTTTTTTAAAACTATATTCAAATTGTAAGTTTTTTCTTTTTCGTTGGAAAACATCTTTTATCTGCCCATCTTTAATGCACTAGAAGTGTGGTTCTTTAAGATCTTGAAGATATATTATATGCGGTCAGCTTGTACAGGAGAAGGTCTTAGTATTCTATTACCAAACTTAACATGAAAGTGCAAAGGAGAAGAAAAGGCTAGATATTTGTTTATATTAGTAGTGCTGTGCATAACCTCAAAAATCGTGAAGATCGCTGGTACTGTAGCCTTGTTTTTGAAGTACTTGGTCTTGACGGTTGGACTCGATGATCTTAGAGGTCTTTTCCAACCTTAATGATTCTATGACTAGTTAATCCACTAAAGCATTATATCGCCATACAGATATTTATAGTACAAAATATACTTTGTTAGTAAGACTGTAATTTTCCTTTTACTTGTAAATACTGAAAGGAATTGAAAAACCTGATACCAAAATCGGCAGTGGGAACATTGTCTTCAAACTCCAGCAATGTGATTCAGCTGATCATTGATGCATACAATGTAAGTTCAGATTTTATTCGGGTTGTATTAATTTTTCTTGCTTCTAAGTTGTTATGAGTTTTTCAGGCAGATACTCCAAGGTGGATTTTATTTTTTTTCCTACAAAATAGGATGTGAGTATACTAAGCTATAAATCCCGCCATTGCAGTAAAACAACATTAGATGTTCAGACACTATGGCAATAAGAGGTTAGATGACTAGAAACATACACTCTTAAAGCCACTTAAAACAACATTACAAAGAAAAAGTTATCATCCATGTTTTCCCTTTTAAAAAGTAAAATCCACAACCAAAAGCCACACTCTTTCTTCAGCACCTTCAGTTCTTGCCTTCTTTCCATGTGGAAGCGAAAAAGGTCATTTTGCAACCTCTTGACCCCAAAGAAAATGTCTCCATCAACCTCAGGGACTCCTGGGTTTGGCCCCAAAATATTTTCTTCAGAGCTGTGTTCTGTAAATGAGACCCATTTCTCCTTTGGAGTACATGGGGCAAACAAGTGTCTCCAACGTCTGTGGAGACCTGCCCTCACTCTGCGTAACAGGGTTCAGCTGTAAGAAGGGGTCACCACGGCGTGACTGTGAGCAGCTCTGGGCTGGTGTTTCTCAGCATGCTGGAATTTACATAATTCCAGTGTGCCCATGGGATTGGTGCTTAGACTGTGCATAGTTGTATAATGTCTTTTTTTTTCACCAGCAAAATGCTTACACGACTCATTTCGAAGTTAGCTAATAACTGTTGTTTTAGTCCCTTTCTTCAGAGGTTATCCTGGAAAACAGTAAGCTACCAAAAGGAGTGACAATCAGTTATAAGTCTTTCTGCAAGAATGGAGTGAATGACACACAAGAAGATGGAAGGAAATGTTCCAACATTTCAATTGGAGATGAGGTAACTTCCAGTATATGTGCTGCTACTCAAATATAAAATTCATTTAAAATGTCCAACACTCAGTATTTTTATTTTTTTTTATAGTACAGACAAAACTCCTTTTAGTAACGTGGCACTCCATTTATTTTTCTTTGCAGGTTAAATTTGAGATTAATGTAACAGCTAATGAATGTCCAAAGAAAGAACAAAATGAAACAATTAAAATTAAACCACTGGGATTCACTGAAGAAGTGGAAATTAATCTCCAGTTCATCTGTGAATGTCAGTGTCAAAGTGAAGGAGAACCTAATAGTCCAGCCTGCCACGAAGGAAATGGAACATTTGAATGTGGTGCATGCAGGTAAATAAATAGACTTTATTTATTTTTGCAAAAGGGAAATATGAGCAAGACCTTTGTTTCCTTAATTAGGGTTTATTTGATTTTACTAACTTTTTTTTTTTAGTGAAAGGACAAGAATTACTGTTGCAGACGCATTTCTTTTAGGATATTTTGCCATGCTGTCTTATCTCTGCAGATAATCCATGTGCTGGAATTCGTAGTATTGATCATTAGATTGGTACTATTGTACGAGTCAGAATTGGAATTTGTCCTTGAGTCAGCCCTTTAAATGATATAGGTCTTACTGCTTTTTCTGTTTCTTTATTTAATTTCGAGGTCCATGTAATATGGTGAAATTATGGATTTTATGGAACAAAATTAATGGTATTAATCTGTGATATTTTTGCAAGTATTCATACTGATCTAATTATATCCTTCTAACGTGAGGTCTGCTGATTTTGAGAAATTTGAAGGCTTCCTAGTTTTTTGGTAGGAGCTCCTACCCAGATTGGCACCAATTGTTTCGTAGTAGGGAAGAGTAAAAAGTCATAAAAGAACAACCTTTTATTTTGGATGACATTCCCAATCTCTTCTCCCTACTTTATTTCGAACCTTTTGGGGTCTTATTGCAATGTTTCTTCTAATTGCATATATCTATAAATAGTTCAGGCTATCTATAACTTTTTTTGTATACATATGCCTTTGAAATGTCCATTATTGCCCATCACAGGGATTAGATTAGATATGTATTCTTTATTACACATTTGAAAATTAAGTAAAATGATGCTGGGTTTTCTGGAATTACACATAATGAATGACACACAATGAAAGCAGAGCAAAATCTTAGAGTTTCAGTGGAGGCTGGTTGAAGATCAACCTAGTAAGTCAAGGTTGTAGCTTTTTTTTTTCCCCCCTCCAAGAAATCTACAGCGAAAATGAAAACAACTTCTTGGAAACACTTGAGATGAGAATGGTAAGAGCAGAATGAATTTAAGTACTTCTCTAGGAAAACAAGATCCAGGACTTTGGAAAACAATATTGGTTCCTGCTCAATGAACTGTGACTGAAATAAAAATTTTAAGTCTCACTCCTCGTGGTTTAATATGTGACTATTATTAAAAATAAAGCAAAAGATACTGAGTTCAACCTTGGAGGACTTTGGCATAGAACTGACTAACATCTGCCTGGTGAATTTGGTGGTGGTAGTTAACAGGGTGTTTGAAAGACTGAGGTATGGCCTCCTAACTGCTTAGTATTCTGTAAGTTGAGGAATAAACCACTTTGGGCCATAAATACTGGATACATTGCTCCATTTTGCAGTCAGGTTTTGATGTTCCCTTTCAATAAGGAAAGCAGATTTTTGCCATCTTTGTGTAGAAAGACTTAATAAACTTGGTATTGCTGGTGTCCCCGTGGCTTCACACAGAGGAGAACAGACCCATGAATAAGAACAGGCTTTTGCTTTTGCAACAGTAGCAGGTTCCTGAAGGAAGCGTTGTCTCTGCCCCGCAGCAGTTTGTCAATCACTGCTGGGAACAAGAACAACCTCCGTTTGTTCATCGATATTTTAACCTTGGTAATGAGAAGTGCTGATCCCTGAAGATCTCATCTCAGCAGCTCTGAAGATCATCTACTCTCCTGCCTAATTGTTGTTCATGGAAAATCTTTTCATTGAAAGATGACAGCAGCTACAGTGAACAGTCACTGTCACTTAAAAATAATTATTGTTCAGTAACATGAGAGAGGGATTAATAGTGGTTATGTGGCAATTTAGTTAGAGGTGGTGACACATAGTTTCTCACCTGGAATGAGTAATCAGCATAGGAGCAACACAGACGTTTGCTCCAGCGGCTTCAAGAATGGCTACACAGATGTCAGCTGGAAATCTCATTTGAAGTTTAACTCGGAATATCCCGTGAGAGAATAGTCACTCTTACTCCTGTTCTTTGTGCTATTTTTGCAGTCTTTTTATTGTATGACTTTTAATTAAGTTTGTATTTTCAGTTGTGTTTTTACCTTGCAGATGTAATGAAGGACGTATTGGAAGACTATGTGAATGTAGTACAGATGAAGTAAATAGTGAGGATATGGATGCTTACTGCAGGAGGGAGAACAGTACAGAAATATGCAGTAACAATGGAGAATGCATTTGTGGACAATGCGTATGCAAGAAAAGAGAAAACACCAATGAAGTGTATTCTGGCAAATATTGTGAATGTGATAACTTCAACTGTGATCGATCAAATGGTTTGATTTGTGGAGGTGAGAAACTACTTCAGAGTTTTCTGCAGGCAAAACTGGGCAGCAGTTTACAAGTCTGTCAGCTCTACCCTGTAGAGTAGTGATACTTAGCTTATAGATCATAGCTACTTGGTAACAGAGATGAGAATATCCACAGATTTAGTGATTGAAAATGTCTATTAATAAAACAGCTCTCTGTGATCATGAACATGCAGTGTGTTAATACACATTTCACCTTCGTTAAATCACAGCTCCAAGAAGGATGTAAAGTGAACTTGACTTCTGCTGTTTATTACAGAATTACCCTCAGGTATTATAGTAAAGAATGCTGAGACAACTGGCCTGAGATTATAATGTTATACTGGCTCAGTGTAACCACTGCGTCAATAAAAAGAAATAATGACCTCAGCTTACTTGTAATAGTGAGTGCTTGACTCGGTGCTTGACAAGATACCAGTAAGATGCTATCCTGAGACTATTCTGAAAGGTAAGTGCAGATTAGAACATGCAAGATCAGAAAAATGCCTTAGGTGCTTGAAACAAGACTCTGATGGCAGTTAATTCCCGAAATCAAAAACAATTTAGAAAATCCTCCAGCAGCCAGTGTCTAAATTATTTTGCTGCATGTATTTTTGTCCTATAACTTGCCTAGGCTGCTTTGCACGTGGAAGTACCTGGTAGGAGCATAACTACTACCTCAGTTTTGACTGTGATACAAAAATAAAGCAGAGAAGACACTAAGCTTTAGCTGAATTATGAGAATACCTCATCTGTCTGATTTGCTGAGAATACACCTATTGCTCACCAGCTCCGCAAAGGATAGGAGCAATCGTGGTGGTGTTCCAAAATATATGGTGACAGATATGTATTGGCCTAAGCACTTTATTCTCAGTGGAGAAGGAGGGGTGTAGCCAAAGATTTTTCCATTTCATCCAGATCACCCTTCTGGAGATACCTGTATCTTGTTTCCTGTGTAGGGAGTGTAAGGAGCATACAGTTTGGTTGGGTGGATGAGGTCAGAAGTACAGCAGCTGAATGGCGGTGTTCTAGGGAGCCAAAGGTGTTTCTTTTTTCTGTGTTGTGAAGTCCAAGTTAGTGCATTCCTCCTCTTTTTAGGTGTTGCTTTATATATTTATATATTTATATATAAATATATTTATATATTTTATATATTTATATATTTTATATACTTATATTACTTATATTTAAGCAATTTCATTTTTATTTGCAGGGCTGTTTGCAGTTTACAAATAGCATATGACAAGTAGGTTAAAAGCACCCAGGCAATAAAGTCAAATTTAGGCAGTAAACTATTTTAAATAAGTTCACCATGAATATTCCCTCCAATAGATATTGCTTCAAGCAATACCAGTTTTTGCCAAAAGCAAAATATGCATTATCTAAAATATAATACAAGACACATTGTTCGGTAATTTTGATGGGACTTCCTCTCTTTCACATCATGTTCCATAACGGTATGATCAGGTGCTTGAGCTGCTTTATGAAGGGAATATCTTTTCTCTATTGCTAAGTGGAAAACTGCATCCTACAGCAGTCCGGTATGGTTTGGTCCATGTCTGGGAGGACCGCTTTTAGAGGACATCTGAATATCATGCTGAATAATCCATTTGATTCTACATTAAGAAAAGACATTCACCCACCATTAATTCCCTACCTAACTGCAAAGCAACAGCCCAGACATTTGCATGTGGAAAGTTCAGACAAACTTGACAGACACTCCCTGTTGGGCCCTGTGCAAAACAGAACACGGTCCCTGGGCAAGTACGTAAAAGAAAGCATTCACAGAATAAGTGCGCTCTATTTCTTTGTGAACCCTATCAGCACACTATCTCAGTCAAAAACCTATCAAAATGACGGATCTAGTTATTATGATGCTATGAAAGGGACCATCTGAAATGGCGTCACTACAATGAAGTTCAAAAGCGTGAGTGTGATTCTAATCACACCACTGTTAGGCAAGTTAATTCAGGTACTGGAATTAGCCTACCTATGATGGTACTGTTTTAGTACTGCTGCAAAACCCATGTGAAAATATTGCACACAGCCCCAGCTGAACTCTTCAGTGGCACAACCCAGCTAGGTAGCTAAAAATTAGTCTAAACCAGTTGCCATCAAAACTTTAGATTACGTCATTGATGCAACAGACAACTAGGACCTTCTACCTTCATCTTCACAGTATTTCACCTTTTTAACATCACTATCTCTTCTAGGCCACGTAACTCCGGTAGTCCTAGTAGGGATGTACTGTTATTCTAAATTGAATAAAAGTGTAATGGCTCAATGTTATAGGGTAATTATGAGCTAAAAAAGATATCCATGTTTTTAATTTTTAATTTTATACTGAACTCAGATTAATGCTCCACTAAATACCAATAGCGTTATTCTGTAAATAAGTGCATTTAAAATGAATACATACACTGGAATTTTTTCCAAGTAGCTTACCAATATAACCAGGTACCTCTCGTCCTGTATAGGTAAAGCATATCTTCAAATTCATACAGATGGCAGGCTGGTCATTTTCCATGCAGTTGAAATTAGTTCGATTTATTGAGTTAGGATGTTTTAAAGAAGCTTCAACAATTATCACTGGTTTTGTTCTAAGAATAGAAAAAAGAGTTAATGTTCACGAAACACTTCAGAAATAGCTTACAGAATCTCTGCAGAATCTAACAATCTCTGACAGAATCTATTTTTGTATTTTATAATTATCATTTTTTAAGCTAACTGCACTTTTTCAGAATCCAAATAGTCGTGTGCACGTTATTTGTTGCCTCAAAAAGTTTCAGAATGATGTTTTCTTTTTCTTCAAGGTGTTTACTTAAACGTTTCAGTTGTAGAGCATTCTAGAGCCTAATGACTGAAGTTCAAGACACCAAGAATAAATATCACGAGGTTAAAATATACTACTGAGTTTTATTAAATTGCATTAAAAAAATACAGTTAAATTGTATGGTCTTTAAAAGCACTGAAATGTAGCAATCTTACCTCAGCACCACAGCAGAATCGGAGAGAAATGCACCAACTGCTACATCTGTACAAAAAAATAGATCAATAAGCATAATTTGTCAACAGGAATTACTTCTCAGGTACAAGCATTTTGTAGCATATTCACCTTTTGGTCAGCATTAAAACACCATTTCCCCTTTATTTATTAGAAGGCATATACTAATATTCAAAGGTGGTGTTCTCCGTCTAGAAGATGATTCCTCAAATACTTGTCCACTGTCCATTAACGCTGCATGCTAGTTTGCTGGACTTGCAGATACTGGTGATGTGATGATTTGATTTCTATTCCACGCTTAAGTGGCTGACACTGAAGGACAATTCAGCTAAATAGGAGGTACTTGCCTTCTTTTTAATCCAAATATTCAATATTGCTACATGCACAGACATATACATAAACAATTCAGTTATACGTATAACTATATATAATATGTATGAAATTATACGTAGAGATAGATAGAAAAGAATTATTTAATTTATTCCAAACTGAAAACTATTCATGCAATAGGGAAAGAAATACACACAGTATATACACACCTCTCAAACGAGGTAGCAAAAGTGAATCGTCAGAGGAGTCTAAATGATATAAGGGTCTGAGGATGTGACTCCCAAATCAGTAAACAACAGGTGACCTGACAGCAGACTACTTGTACACTACCTCTTAGCCCAGCATTACAAATTAACCTGGATAACTTTTCTGCTGACATAGCCAGAGCATACAACATGCAGTTCATGATAACTTTATGCTTTTACACCCACAGGAGCAGGAAAGGCAATACCTGACCCGATAAAACGCTTATCTGCATAATGTCAAAATATTTTGACAATACGTATAAAACAATGAGTATATACTTGGAACCAGCCAAGTTGTTTTACACCAAATTAGCACTTCTGTGTCATGCCCACAAGAACTCCACAACAGTCTTAATCCAATGCCGTGAGCCCTGACTCAGGTTAATGTATTGTTGACACAGACTGAGAGTCACGGAGCTCAGTGACTCCTGGCAAAATCTAGACTATGTGAACACCAGTAAGATTTTTAGGTTAGCACACTGGTCTGGACCACAAACGTGCTTCTGGTGCCCAAACTAGCTCATTGTGGCATTAGCAGATAAGATGGCTGCCGTAAAAATAAAAACTACGTTTTTCTTCCTCTTGTGCACTATGATCTTACTATTACATCATTCTCAGTCCTTAAATAATAGTTAGATGACCGTGAAAACTGAGTGCTTGGCCTCAGCTTTACCTCTCTTTTTTTTCTCTTCCCCAAATGCAAGATGTGACATGTCATCTTAATAACAGATTTTGCTTCTGTTAAAAGTAACGAGTAGCACGGTAGGGTTGTTCCCTATGGATCTCTACTCTTTTAAAAATGAAAAATAAACAAAATTGTTTAATTCACCTTGATAACCATTATTATCTGCATCAATGCCACTTGCTATGGATTGTCCAAACATGCTTAAAGAATTACTGACTTGATGTCCTTGTATTCTCTGAGGAGGAAAAAAACAGAAGAGAAAATTATTCTTGGAAAGCAAATCTCCGAGTTACAATATCCAATGAAAAATGTTAGCACAACCATCCTGCTGCTGAAGGCAGTTACCTGCTTACCTGTGAAAGTATACCTCGGAAAGTAATATTCCTCAATTACTGCAAATGTTATATCCCATAAACCCTGTCTGAGGCCTCCAAAACAATTTATTTTTCTGTTACAGCTTATATTATGACTGGAAATCACACACTAAAAAATTCCTGAAGTCTTTTACAGTACCTCAGATGGTCTGAGTGTTAAATGAAGGGAAAACTGCCTCGAATTTAAACTTAAGGTTTTTCCAGATTGATTATTTTTCATCGAAAAAGCGTACCTGTGAAAATGATGGTGTTATTCCCTCTTCCCTGCCATTGTATATATAAATAACCCCTTTTAGATTATCTTCTTGTGGAGCCCCAATTGCTACATCTGTGGAAAAACAATTTAACATTAATCAGTTGACTAGGAAACATGAACAAGGAAGAGTTAAAGAAATCCAAATCACGATGCATGCAATGCCAGACCAAATTTATTTGACTGAATTCA